GTAGTTGGTGAGTTTGATGTCTAATTGCTCATAAAGGCTACGATGCGACGCTGTGGAACAAGGATGACAACCTTGGGCTTGGACTTCCAAAACATCTAACCAAAGCTTAAGTGCATGTACTCCTTGATGTAGCAACTTTTAACAGGGCGTAGACATATTGCACATGCTATGCAGGAAAAGAGAAGTTTATTGATATTTCAGTTCATTAATTTAACCTGCGAGATTGAAGATTCCCTCTAGAGACTTTCGAAGAAGCTGACCGTTGTTGAAAAGTGAGTTACCTTTAGCAAAGCAATTCTTTGAAGTGTGTGGCCGTACAATAAATTTCTTTATGCAAGACGCTGGCATAATGGAGGCTTGTAATGAAACGGGTCGCTAAAGCAAGAGTCACCATCTTAGCTTGGCTGCGGTAAAATGCTGCTTCTACAGCAAATGTGGTTAGAGCCAAGCAATCCTCCAAAGTCTGCTATCTTCTTCATTTCTCTTTTTTTGTTATATAAGCCACACAGCTAATTCGTTTTAATGTTTTATATATTATATTTCAACATAACGGGGTGCAACATAATAAGCGAGTTTTGTGCCTTCTTAAAAAAAAGTAGTGAGGGGTCTGTTGGAATTCAGTGTTTTCTGATAATTTTACTGGCTACATAGTATGTCTGCTTGAGAGGCACAGTCCTGGGCAAGCACTTTGGTAATCAATCACTGCAGCGCTTTAGTTTTTTTTTGTGACAAACATTTTCTCTACAGTGAATGACGAGAGAGTAACAATATTACTAGAACCACCCACTCTTGTTACCTCACACACACATTCAAAAAGTAATGTCCTGTTGAGAGCTATGGTAGGTTCTTGGATTCATTGCTTTTCCGCTTGAGGGGAGTAGGAGTTGAAAAACGCAAGTTTTTTTTTTCTTTTCAAAATTACATATTTTTTGTTTTTGTTTGCTTTCAGAAGGTTAGCTCCTCTACTTTCGCGATAAAAAAAAAACTGAATGTTGTAATTAAGGTCAAAGAAGGCTAAAATTGCTTTTAAAGTGCACAAACTGGCTACTAAAAACTAAAGCGAGTTGATTGTCTAAAGTTATCTGGAAATTTTTGCCTGGCTGCTTGCTGTTCCATTTTGCCTGAGGAGTTCACTGAAGCCACATTCTCAAAATAACCACGATTGCCAAGCTCTCATGAGTGAAGAAGTCATCTTGAAAAACATATTTTTTCTGCATAGTTGAGCTTTGAAATTCTTTTTTCTCAAGATCTATTTCTTGGCAACTTGAGTTTGGACATAATGTGTACTTCCGATTGCCTGATTGGAAGGAAATTTTGTCCACAAATTTCTTCAAATGTGAAGGTTGCAAGTATCTCCTTTAAAACGATAGATATTTATTCAAATGTGAAAAATGCAAATATCTCCTTTAAAACTTGATAGATATCACCTGCACAATTATTAAGAACCTAAGGTAATCAATTAGTACGAGTTGAGGATTAAAAAAGTTTTCACATTACAATTTTTCTTGTTCATTTAAGTGTCTTATACACACCTTCTTTACAGTTATTTGCATTCTACAGTTCATGTGGAGCAATATGAGCCAGTAACGTCTAATAACCATAAAAGTTTAGTGGCATAAAAAGTTGGTCCATCATGAAATATACTTCACATATTGTCATGGCATAAAACGAAAGCTGTGTAGCATACTATAAAACTAGTTACATATTTGAAGTCAGCATAGAAGCCTATATATACAGCAAAAGTTTCGTTGTCATAGGGTACAGATTAACACAGATTTTCTTTTTTTTTTTTTTTCAAATCGTATCTCCTTTTAAGGGATAGCTAGATAAGAAAAATGAGAAGGGGGCGTTAGAATAACCGACTTTGGAAATGTGACACTGTCATGTAGGTTTGAGAAGTGAGTACTAAATGAATGTAATGACTTTGCTCGTATATACTGTCATTCTTGCATTTGTTTGTTATAATTCACAATGAGTTTGTGAGCAATTAGTTTAAAGCTGTTACCTGATGCAGGTATCCTGTATGCTGTCCCTATTGATTGTTTTTCTGGTAATGCATTTGTCATAAGCATATTGTGTACCTCGAAAATTCGCATTGATGCAGTGTATGTTTTAGTTTTCGAGTGGACCTTACATTTCAGCTTAATGTAGCTGTTGAAACTCGCATTAACATCCACTGAAACCTTTTGCTAGAAATGAAAGTGGGCAGAAATTGATAATTAGTGATACCTTTAAAAGCTTTAAGCTCAATTACCCAAGACCAGCCTAAAATTGAGTAAGTAATTCATGTACAACAGTTCTTGTGTAATACTGTGGCCTTTGAAAATTTCATTCTTTGCAAAAATGCACTTGGGTTTGAGGTAAGGTGCATTGTATGAGAGCAAGTAGTAAATAAATATCAAGAGGAGAACACGATTCGCATATTACAGCTTCAATAATTTAAGTTGGAATATGCTCTGAGCGGGCACTTAAAAAAAATGTTGCAACATTCTGTTATTTTTAGCCTCTGCATCATTTGTTTTTTCATTAGCCTTTATTGGATCTAATGTTGAACATAGAACCTTTTCTATTGCAAATGACCAGTGTCTTTCTGTAAGAACTGGCTGTTACTTCACTATTCGTTAATTACTGTGCTCATTGTGTGCTGCCACTCACTCTCTTTTTCAATGCACGTGGTACTAAATATGAAGTTTTCTTTTGTACCAAAAGGTATGTCTTGTTACCTACTGCAGATGAAACAGATCAAAGCAGTGCAGGCTACAAAAATGCATCCTTATTGTTGAAAACATGTTACTAACACTATGAGGGTAAAAGAAACAACAAACAGTAAAACAAGAATAAATGGATTCTATTCATATGCAGCCTAACCCATTTATAACGAACTGGAAAGTGCCATAATAAACGGTTGTTATATCAGTAGTTCGTTGTACATGGACCTGCCCATAAAAACGTCCACGTAGTGGCCAAACTGTTTTTTTTTTCTGCGTATTTTTATTAAAGAGTTAAAACCCCTCCGTGACAAGTTGGGCCTTTCCGCATGTTAAATGAGGCCTGTTGCCTCACGAGTGAATTCAACCATGTTTGCAATGCACTCACGCCGTTTCAGTGAAGCGCAGTACCACGATGTCAAACGGATCATCCCTGGCTAGTTGCGTGCAGTATGTCATTTACGTGGCTCTCGCCGTCGTATGCCACATACCTTGCAGTCCAATGTTTGCGTGTATTTGTGTGTTCTTCGCACATGCTTCACTCGGGATCGTGTTTGGGTGCAAATAGTAGCCTGAAGGAATGCGCACAAGCGGCCTCGCCCGATGCAGCAGCGATGAGCGTGCGAACAGCAGCTTGACGCACTTGTACCACCGTCACTCCGCTGAGTCTCTATCTGCCGATGATTGTGATACAGTTGCCGGCGATGAGTCATATAGGCACGTTCATTGCCACTTGCAACCTCATCATCGCTCTTTTTTTATGCTCATCTGTTTGATAATTATCCGTTACGGCATCGTCCGAACCGCGTGAAGCCGTTATCACTAATCGACCGAACTCTGCCATCACCAAAAAATGGAAAACGTTTTGCGGCACATTGTGGTATCAGCGTCGTAGTGAGCAACATCGTAGTGAGCTTTTATGTGACAAAAGTTATCGCTTCTCGCATTTATGTTTTCTTGCATTGGAAGGCATCGTTGGTTAATCGTTGGCGGTTGTAGATGCTGAAAACGGCATCAGAAAAGTTTGCCGTGCAAAAGCTGACCACAAGTCTTCATGCTGTCTCCTGTTTCTTTTTGTTTTTTTTCCGCCACACTTCCTTTTTACTGGTGAAAAAACGACTGGAAAGTGACCTCGCTCGCGCCGTCGGAAATCTGCGTGAGATGCTCACCGCGGTCTGTGATATTTTCGTCGCAAGTGAACTGCAGCAGGGCACACGCGAGCGCGCACATATCACATGCTTGAGAATGCCTGTTTTAACAATTCTTTCGCATTGTATGCGCCATATTTTTATCGTCGCCTCGTTGAAAGTGTTCGTTGTAAGTGTAGAAGGCTTTGAAAAATGTTCACTGTATGTGGACTCAGTTTCAAAGGGTATCATAGGAAAATTGTAAGTGCACTGAAATATGGTCGTTATAATTCATAAATCATTATATCTGGGATCGTTGTAAGTGGGTTGGACTGTATAGCATTTTAGGACTCAGTTATTTTAACTGGATGCAGAATGTGGTGAAAAAGGAGAAGGAAAAAAAAAACTTTTATTAATACCAGCAGTTTAGTTGGCCGGGCTAAATACTAATTATCCTATAATTTTGGGTCAGATAGTCTGTCAAGCAATATCGTGTAGTTGTTATAGACAGGGAGTCAATAGTGAATGAAGTACGACTTAAAAGCTGACACCTCAAATGTTTTAAAGGTGGGGCTCCTGACTTCTTGATGCAGAATGAAAAAGGGAGTAGCGGTGAAGGTGCTTCTGGCAACTGGTTTTCTGAGGGGTGTGTTCTTTCCCCATAGTAAATGAGAACCGTTGCTGGCTGTGTCGGTAGTAATCACTCCCTGGTGTAAGGCTACCAGCTTATTGTTGTTACGAATAATGTTGGGTTTCACAGAGTTTCGATATAACTTGAAATCTATGTCTGGCTTCTTAAATGTACTTGGATAAAAAGTTTGTGTTTCTCCTACCCTGAATGACCTCAAGAATAGCAAAGGAACACCACAACTGCTTTTGAGATTGGTTCAATGCTTATCCTACACGAAAGTATTCAATACGACTAGTAAATGGTCAGCAAGAACGTACCTGAAGGGCTCAATTAGGATCTGCACACATGTTGCTTTTAAGCAACACATTTTCTTTCGTACTGCTCTTGACTAATCCTGCTTTTCAGCAGTCTTGTTGTTAAGTTTGCTTGGCGCGTTTTTTAGCAGAAATGTTTCTGAATTAGGTGTGTGCTTGTGACTCTAGGAGTTGAAGCAATTTCTGTTGTCCTTGCTCAACAATGTGGCATGTCCTTCAGGTACGAAAGCAGTTTGAAAAGGAGCCTGCCTTTATCAACCTGAGCTTAGAATCGGAGCGGATGCGGATCTTCAAGGAATACCAGCTCACACTGGAGGCAAGTGTCATAAAGCTGGCTCTTATGCTCCCAACAGTATCTGTCTAGAGCTGCGATCAGATTGCTTACAACATAGCATGAGAATGCATTTGTAAGAGTTGTTATGTAGTGTAATAGGCATCTGAAAATTGCACTTTCGTGACCTTCCTCTGTGCATCTTAAAAGTGTTTCATTCTGCATTTGTGTCATTGACAGCGGAACAAGCTTTTAAGCACTAAGGGTGAGTGTCTACTGTGGCTGTCTTGAAAACAGTGGGATGCATTGGCAGCATACAACGTTTTGTTCACAAATGACTTAGGAGCGAAACAAAAACAGTGGTAAGAGGGTCTGCCATACAATGAATAATACATTATTGCCTATTCATTTAAATAAGGGATTAAGAAAAGACTTAATGTTACTATACGTTTAAAAACCTGACCATGTTGTCAAGTGGGACCACTTGCATAGCTGCTGAAAGGGTTCAGTGGTTCATAAATTGTAAATTTTGTGTCCACCTATCCAAAATATGAGACAAACAGGAGAGTGTTCTCACAATGGGAGCCAATGACTTGCATGTCCCAGTACTGGCTTAGTCTGCTGTGCTGTGCCTCCAAGCCTGAATTGCCAACTCTTAAGGCACGGTAATGCTGAATGCATAGTCAGTCAGAGCATTTGGTTTTGCAGGAAGCATGCAGTCACCGCCATAGTCGGTCGAAAAAGCACAGCAAGAAGATGAAAAAGAACAAGAAACGTTCCAGATCCCGTTCGGTATGTCATCTTTAGTTACCACAATAGTTTATTGATGTGTTTTTGGAAAAAATTGGTGCTAGCTTTTGTTCAAAGCTTGTACCACTGGCACTTTGGACTGTGTAAAAAAACGTGGCTGATCCCCCTATCTAGGAATCGGTATAACACTGAAGTGAAATGCGTCTTCACAGGAGTAGTTGAGCATTTATTGTGCATTGTTTTAGCAGCAGCAACAAATCGCAAAGTAACAACAGCAAGCAGCTTGAAACTTGCAGCACACTCCTCAGGCAGAGAGCACGCACGAAATGAGCATACACAGGTCGAGAGCAGGCTAACAACTGTCACAGTTCAACACGTAAAGCATGCTGTTCAAACAGAAAGAAAAGTGCACGAAACGAGCGCACAAATATACACAGGACAAGCGCGAATAACTGTCATAATTCTTACTTTGTCGTGTATCAGCAACGCGCTCCTTTCGTAAATGCGGCCGCGGCAGGGAGCAGTGATCTTTGTTCTCTCCCGAATTACGAGTTTGATAAGTGCGTGCGCAAGAGAGACCACGCTCCGTGGAAGCGATAACCTTTAGAGCGCATTCAAAGCTATGAAACGCGAGCCCGTCGTGCCTTCGCTACTGATAATGAAAACAAGGCAAAGTTTCGGAGCTCTAAGAACTACCAAACAGTGTATGGTGTGTATAAATAACTTGCCGGTAGCATTCTCGACAACGTAAGCCCTGTGGCATAGTGGTTAGCACCGTGCGCTGCGAATCGAGAGGTTGCTGGTTTGACGTCACGCGACAGAATCTTTCCTTCTCGCCTTTTTTCTTTGAAATCTGTTGGTATATATTTTACGTCATATCCGTGATGAAAATACGTCAGCGGAGCCGTGGTGGACCTCGGCATAAAACACTTATGTGCTGAAAGAAACCTTGCTTTTCAAAGTGTAATACAAAAATGGCCAAAATACCACGTCTGCAACACAAGCAGATGCATCACAAAAAGGAAGGAAGCAATAGGTTGACATTTTCAGTACGAAATGTCAAAAAAAGAAGCACCTCTACAATGGTTACCCAGAAATAGTGCAGTACCCAGAAGATGCCCAGAATAGTATTTTTGCTGAGCTCTCAGAAATAATGATGTGACAGTGAGATTGGCAGGCATGCATTGTTTTAAATTTGTTTCAAATGTACTTGCCACCAGATGCTTGCTGTATCTATTACAGTCGCAGTCGTGGAGAGTTTAAGCATGTCCAATATTGTGCCAGTACCATTGTGTGCACCAGAATGTTAGATTAGCAGACATGGGACATGGATAGTGGCATCTTGAATACGTTTCGTTTATTCGTACTTATACTATACACATTCTCTTGTATTCACTGAGCGCTCTCACTGAACGATACGTTTTAAAAGACAACGTGGCTTGTGATCACATTGTTGACAAAAACTTACAGTGGCAGGGAGGCAGTCTATGCCTGGTTACTGTGTCTGTCTACTTGAGCTCTGTGCCGCCTGGTATGTCATCAACATCTTGGCTGGTCGGTCATGTTTATGTCTCCGGTATATGGCACTCCCTTTGCGTCCACAAGTCTGTAGACAAACTACAGCTCTAACGGGTGGAAGTTATGTCATGGCTTTATTGGTTGATGCAGTCCATTTGGTTAAAAAAAGCTTTTGTATGGCAAGTGTCAGAGTTGTAACTTGTGCTTCTTTTTCTCTTCAGGAAAGTGACTCAGACAGCTCCTCTAGATACAGAAGCAGTCGAAAAAAGAAGCGATCTCGTTCAGAGTCAGATGAATCTGAGTCAGACAGTGGTAAGTACCTGTGCTTTTCTCCGAATTCCATTCCTCTCCTGTGGACTCAACTGCTGTTGATGCAGCATTGTTACGAAAATTGTGCCTGAGCATTAATTTTATTTTGCATGTCACCTCGGAAGCCTTACTGTAATATTTTCATTAAGAGCATTTAATAGGATGTAAAACTATTTTGTTTGAGCTGTTCCTTTCAGTCAATGTGAAAAAAAAATCATTTGTCAGTCAAGATTGTCCAAGAAAACATCTAGTGATATAAAGTACGATGAAAAAAACTATAATGTAGAACTATGATAAATACGAAATATATACAAGAAAACTGAAAGAGTATGAGTTTTTGTCTGAAGCCTGCCATGTTTGCCTGGGTTATATGAGGAATGGTTAATGTTGGCTGTCTCTGGCTACCCACTCAACCATGTAATTGTATGTGTCTACTTTTGTGCCTCTTTCTCACTCCATAAAAAGCTTTGCATGCTGTGAATGTTTCCCATAAAGATATTGGCCTCCGATTCCCCCCTCCCTATATTTTATTATTAAATATGAAGATCTCTTCACTTGACTAGAAATGTCTTAGTGCTCTTGTACCTTCATTCTATGACTGTAAAAGGGATCAACTTTCAGCCTATATTAGACTTGTGCATAGCTTACCTGTTTTAATTTTATTGAAAAGTGTAAAGTTCAACAGTGAAGAACGAACTTTGTCTCGGGCATCACTTGTATGTATGCTTTTATTGTAGTGAGTGCATTGTTTCACAGGTGAATGTTTTGTTGACTGCTAAGACAAGATTTTTCTCCCGTGGCAGTGTCATCTGTTGATGCTTTCCTTGATCCAGAGAGTCTCTTGGAAAGCGAGTGTTTGATTGTACATATGTCACTAATCTCTTGCTTATTGCAGACTATTCAGCAAGACGAAGGAAGCGAGATCGAAAGAAGAAAAGGCAAAGCAGCGTAAGTGTGTGCTGACTTAGGATGTTGAAGTTTTTTTGAACTGGTCTTGAAACTTCAGTTGATTTTTCTGGGCTGCTTACACGACAACAATTTTACTAAATTTATTCTCTAGCATATCAATTAGTCAGTTAGGTGAAGAAACTTGTGGGTCAAGGTGATGCAACCCTTTAGTTTTCAGGTGTGGTGGTATTGTAATGGCCAAGCTCCTGGCCATAAGTGTGCCTGCATCTGTCTTACCTTTAGGTAGAAAAGTACAGGCAGGTTTCAAGGTCACATAGGCTCCACGATTAGAACTCCCACATGCAGCTTAGTGCCAATCCAAGGATTGTCTCCTTTCTCTATTAGAAAAACAGTGGACATCACTGAGATTTGGACCCTGTACCTAGTAAAGATACGAGGAAGATTCTATACCATTAGAGCGCTACTGTGTTGTGTTGTATCCTGTATGCATAATGTATTTTTTTTGCTTTGTGCACTTTGCTGGCACAAATGCTACCGATACAAGCAGGCACTCAAATCATCAGAGTGACCACCGAGCCTTAATTTGCCCGGAGACCCGTAAATTGCATGGTTGACTTAAACTGTGATGACAGCTACTGTAAGCAAAATTTGACAATGTTTTGAGATAGCGGGAGTACAGACAGTGATAAAATTACACTTGACAGTCGCTAGTGATTACTGTTGCTACAATGCTTAGTCAGCTTGTTTCTATTGAATTGACTGTTTTCTATTGAATTGACTTTGTTGCGTCTCCTTCACTTTTCTAGAGTAATTGCCGTGTGGCACTGTGTCCTTGACATGTCATGTGTAGGCCTCATCAGATTCAGAATCGGAGCGCCGCGAAAAGAAAAAATCACGGAGATCACCGCAGCCGCCCCCGCCAGCCCCTGCTCAGCCTACAGCAGCTGCACCAGCCGCAGCAACAGCGAGTGGCCGTTCTCGGCGAAGTGGGAGTGCACGTGAGGAAGGCGAATTGGACCAAAAAGTGAGTGACCAAGTTGGTTGAGCGCTTCATTGTCTTTGACCTTTACTCTCTTTTGATTCAAGGATAGCTAATGGTAAGCATTTGACCATGTCTTTGATTCTTGCAGTTTGACAAGGTTTTTATTTATTGAAAGATATGTTACAGGCTCGGAGGCATTGATTAAGGGGGATTGCAGTGAAATCACTAGTAAACTTCTCTGGAAAAGGGTTACAAGGCAAGTAAATCGTAAAAACCAAGAAAAATACAATGCAAAAAAATTTGCAGTGCAGTATGTAAGCGAAATTCGAGAGCACGCAGTGGTGAATTACAGCAATTCAAGGAAAAGAAAGTGTTATTCTTAATCATAAAAATAAACAAAGCCTAAAAATTAAATCGTAAAACAATCTTGGGATGCTATAGAGAGAAAATACATATCAAGTTTACCCTGAAACGTGTTAAAACCTAAGTTAACCTAACATGTTGAAACCTAACGAACCTAATCTAACAGTCTTAAAGGGTGCTATCTAACTGCACACTAAGTGAGTAACATTCACATGAATGTTCAGTGGCTGACATGAAACATTCTTACTGCTGGAGGTCAAATGTAGAATTTACAAGGTGCTCTCAGCAAGAAATGTGCTCTGCTTATGAGTGTGTTCTGCTAACAAAAGATAATGCGAGCATGTGCAGTGGTGACAGAAGCTAGCAATTGTCACACAGGGTAGTGCTGTGCCAATTTCGGCCATAGCTGGGGCTGTTGCTGTAAGTTGAGCTGGGGCCACAGGCAGTGGTGGTGGTTGGTGATATCTGTATTTTTCTTTTCTTGATGCTTCTTACAATGCATGCAATTACTTGCAGATCGAATACACTTGAACAAGCAAGCATAGACAGGTGTGTTCTCTATCAGTTAAATGTTCTGTTGTTCTGTGCAAAGATGTACGACCAAATTTGATGCATCTACAGTGTGATGTATGGGAAAGGTCAGGCTTGGTCATACATCTTCTTGCCCTTTGTTTTTCGTTAGGCTGCACAAAAAGGCCATGCACTCTGCGGTTTGCTTCTTTATCTATAAGTACAGTACATAGTTGAAAGGTGTCATATTTGACAGACATGCATGCAATTGAGTGGAGTGCATGAATATAGTAGACGTGGAGGAAGGACAGGTGGTGGGACACTTTGTAGTTTATTACGAAGGCATACTCCCACAAATATACATACGTTAAAGGCATATCTGGTGGCTGTCTTTCTTTTCATAATTCCTCCTCGTCGTAAACATATTGATTGAGCAGGAACACGACATTGTAGTATGTGTATTTATCTAGTAATATTGGAAATTAGTAGTATAGCGGTTATGCATAAATTCAAACAAGGCAGAATTTTAGTAGTAGATGAAGGCCTGAAGAGATGAAAAATGTTTTTACATGGTGTGTCGCTGGAGCCAACGTTTCAATATCTGGTCTTGTCTTCAACGTGCCCTGTGGAAGGCCTGTGAAATGTTGGCTCCAGTGGCAAACTGCCTGTTTGTGTTATGTAATACAGTCGAACTCCGCTACAATGAATGCGCTTGGACGAAATTTTCACTACAACGAAAAATTCACGGTTCCCCATCGACAGTTCATAGGAGTCAATGCATAAATATTGTTGCCACAACGAACACTTTTTCTTCTGCCGTCCCGCTTCAACAAAATTTCACGATGCAATTCTAGGCTCAGATATTTATCGCTATACAGTAAACACAGTCTTTAACATTTTCATGCATTTTCAAAACTTGAAAATACGTCGATGAAGTCTAAAACACGTGTTGGCACCACCAGAAATTTCCGCTGTTCAGCAAACATGGGTGCTGCTATTGTTCGACAGTGATGGCAATGAGACTGCCCTGCTTTTGTCTCTGGCTTGCTTTTGAGCCGCAGATGATCCGAAGCTAAAGCTCAGTTGCTCAGTTCATGGTTTTCTTTCACGCAGCTGTGCGGAACAATGCCTTTTTTGATGCCAATGCGTATGTGTGCTTTTCACCTATGGGCTAGCCCGAACTGCATTTCGTTCGGGCTTGCCCATAGTGGTAACTAATCAGAGTAATTGTTAGTCCGCAGTATCAACAAAATCTGCTAGCCACGACTGGTGAATGATAAGAATGACATAGAATAAGGCAAAAGTCTTCGCTCCATGATACCCTGATTCCATCTTGGCGTTGTCAGATACACGTTGACGGCGGACAGCTGCTGGTGTTAACATGTTAATGCAGCTGTTTGATTCGTTCACAAAAGTGGTTGTAGGCCTTGTTTCAGCGTGCTTTTCACCATGGCCTTGCGATGCATAGATGAGAATTGCGTCGTGATGCTGCTGGAAAAGAATAGGAAGCAGCAGACACTTTTTGAATTTTGAGAATAAACGTTCCTTTGTTTTGATAGCTCAGACCAGCTATATTTTTTCGATTTAACTACAATGAAATTTTTGCCGTAACGAAATTTTTTCTGCGCCCCGTCAGTTTCGTTGTAGCGGGGTTCGACTGTAGTGGTACAGCCAGGAACATTTTTGAGGTGCACACCCTTGACTTGTGAAGTTTAGGATGGGCAGAAAGGTGTTGTTTTATGTAGATGTAAATTTCAAGAGGGGACACATTCCAGTTGTGCCAGCCCCTGGCTATACTCCCGGTACGTACCAAATCCTGGCCGAAAGTAGCGTGCATGTGCTGAATTTTTGCTGCACTTTGCGTGTGCATTGCATGGTGTAGAAACAATTCTCGCTTTGGCACTGCAGCTGCCTTTGTAAATGGCATTTGCTGGCTGTCACTTGGAGCTTCCTAACCATAACAGGCTGTGCTACACAAAGATGAGTAGACAGCCCATGCTTGCTGAAACAGCACGTGCAGTATTATATATAATGAGTAGGAGAGTTTGCAGACACTGCGGGTAAGAGATCGAAGTGAGTGGACAAGAAAGGACAAGTGCACCAAGCACTTGTCCTGTTGTACTGCATACTATATCATTTTCTTACCCTTCTTCAGAATATAAAGGAGGTATTCACGTGAAGTTATCCACAAGGTGCGCTTGCAGTAGTCATCGTAGGAGTTCAACCTAGGTGCTTGACGGCGTGTGTTGCTTTGATATTTTTTCTCATGATAACAAACTGTCGTATGCCAGATCCTTGAATGATCACAACGATCTTGGCCAGACGTAGACATTGAGTGGTGCTGCCTGGTGGGCCAAGCTCAGTGAATACTTCCAATACTCTCATTAGGCACAGAGAATGAATTTGCCAAACTTTCCCACTATTGCTCTCGGCGTGTTAAGTCCACAGGCCACTGTGCAGTCAACATCAAGCCAATAAATACAGCACAGTTTACATTAGATGGTCAGGAAATGCAGCTGCGGAATGTATTGCTGTAAAATAAAGAACGGCACTGCAAAAATAACAGAAGTTGTTGGGAGAGGAACGCTCGCAATGCATATTGTCCTGTCTGGTCCTTTTCCTGCTTCTGCTTCTGTTCTCGTTTTTTTGTAACAAGTATTTTACGTAGTACTGAGCAAGCCAGCTCCCAATTTCACCGGATACCTGCATTGCAGTGGTTTGACATGAAATAATCATCTCCTTAATAGGAGCAGTTAAATGAGTCATGAAAACAAAATGGCACATAGATTTAGAGAAAAATAAATGATTTGCTGGTTCAGCTGAGATTCAAACAAAGAATATTTGAGTATGTCATCAAGTGTACGTGTGCATGTGAGTCCTTGTTTGTCTGTTTGCCTGTGTGTATGTATGTACAGTTGTCAGTAGAAGACAAACACATCCAAGGAAGGGGTGTGTAGGTTACATAATATGGTTGAGCATTAAACCGCTTAAGTTCGTGTTTGCATATGGTAGAACACAGATCATTGTATATATTGAGAGAAATCATTGCCTGAAAGTAGAGTTTATGTAATTCCACATTATCCTCATCCTAATGCATTCATTTTACTTCATGTGAAGTAAGAAGGATGCACAGATGCATTGTTTTACTTAATTGCAAGAACAGCTTTTGATTTCTTTGTATACGTTATACTGTTTCCATTGTGTTGCGGGCAGCTTTTTCTTGCGACATTGTTCTCAGACTTGACTGTTCTTGCACAACAGTGGACCTCGGACAGTGATGTCAGCGAAGAGGAACTGGAAAAGCGGCGCAGGCAGTTACTCAAGCAGCTGGCGCAGCATAACTAACATCCTTCACAAAATAAAAACAACCTTGAAGCTACAAGAGCCAGAAAGTGTCTGGCTTCTGTGAGGACCATGACTGTTCTCCCCCCACCCCCCCGCTCTCTGTGTTTGGTGTTGTTTTTGTTGTTGTATGCCACAAAACGTACAGTCAAGTGTCATGTCGCAGATTCATGCCCTACATGAAAATGCAGATGGCTGTCATTAAACGGAAGCTGAAGGGGCTGGAAAATATGTTTTGTTTGGCAGCAATGTCATTTACTGAAAGATGAAATAATGGTGCATAATTCAAGGGTGAAACCAGTAATATTTCAGGTAGTTGTACAAGTTAAGCATCAGTTCTGTTTAAAAGATTTTCATCGAGTCTACTGCATGTCCTTCACATGCCATTTTTGTCTGATCGCATAAGCATGCGTTTACCACGGATGTGATGGGTAGATTAAAAGTAGTGTTAGGCAACTTTATGCACTTTCTCCTTTTCTTATTTTGTTATGATTTATTTATTTAGTACCTACTGTGCCTCTTAGAGCATCGTAGTGGGGTGATACTGAAAAAAAAAGGGGGGGGGAGGGGGACGGGGGGCATGGCAAGTTGCATAGATGTGTGCAAATGACTCCATGAACATTGAACAAAAATGCTGTGCACATGGTGACATCGCAGTAAAGAAAAAAGAGAAAAACATTGTGAGAAATGTAATGATAAAAAAATTCATAATTAAAAATTTCGGAAGAACAAAAGGTGAAGTACAACAAAATGAAGAGCGCACAAAAATAGAGAATGTAATGCCTAATTGGAATTCTTTACAAGCTGTGGTATTGTTGCAGATATTTTTTTATACAGTGCACATCTTTGTCATAGCAGTATAGTTCGAGGACAGTGTACTTGTAGTTTACTCTCTCGACATGCGTTTTGTTGTGCTGTAATTAAACTATGCAACTGTAACAACTACTGGTTCTAGCACAAGAACAGCCAGTGAGTGGTGTCAATTCTCGATTACATGTGTACATCTGAACTGATTGCGCTCTTTTGAAGCATTTTATTTTGTAAACTGCGTCTTTGAGTGACTGTCTTCAATGATGAAGGAATGTATAGGTTCGTTTTCTGTAGACACAATATTAATGAGAACTAACAGACAACAGTACCAGGGGAAATATAGTGTATGTTATTAGAAGCAATTGTAATGTAAATGTGAAGAAAGAAAAGCCGACGAAAAGATAACTTGCACAAGCAGGATACGAACCTGCGGCCTTCGCAAAACGCGACCGATGCTTTACCACTGAGCTACGGTGGCGGTCATCTTACCCATTCACTTTATAGGGTATATATGTGCAATTAAAATGTGGAAGCGTCTCTAGCGTTGAAATTTTGCTGCATGTGCCAGTTCGGATTGTTAGAAAGCTGCTGAAAGCAATTTGCATCGCCGTCCTTCATGTAAAAAAGTGAATACCTTCATCTGTGCTACAAATACACGAATGGTAAATGATTTCGAGAGGGAAAATGCATTTGTGTTTGAAGTGAAGCCAACCTTTAGGGGATCGGTGTAAGCTTGGTCTTTGTAAGCTGGCTCTCCCATGTTTAGTGTTGCAGAGAAGCTTATTCATGGCGCGAAACGGCGATTGCGATTTCGTACGTGGGCTTGGCGAGCAAACGTCTCCTAATGTGTGCCTGGATGGCGGTGCCGTCGTCAATATCTCGCGGTAAACTTGGTTTGAACGTTGTTGGGGCAGCGTTCACAACCTCGCCTGTGACGCCACGTTGGCCCTCCGCCATGTCGCCTTCTGCGACGTGTGCCACACAGCTCGGCTGCTCATTCAAACTTCGAAGAGTGGAATGGCGCCATTCTAACGGCGAAGCGGTGTAAGCTCGCCGTGTTGCCGTTTCGCGTTAGCGAAAACTGTCACCATCATGAACGGTGGCTAGCTGTCCAGCGCGTGCAACGCAATAACTCTGCCGGCTCGCCCGCTACGTCGATTTGTCCGGCGTGAGATGCAATAACTGGGATGGGTGAGATGACTAGTTCAGAGAGATGGAGAAACGAAACAAAGAGATCGAAAGAGAATAAGAAGACATGAAGAGAAAGATGTAGAAGCGAGAAATATAACGCCGTGAAAGAAAGAATAAAGTGAGAAAGAAATAGAGAGAAACAATCCGGAAAGACATAGCAAAATAACTTGATAGAAAAAGAAAGGAAGAGACCAAAAAAAGTAAATATAAGAAGTAAAGGCCGCCCAGATCCGCCGTTCGTTCAGGCTTGGCATTGCTAGTGCGAAGCAGGCTTAATTTTTTCCCTTCCTATATAGGTAGATGTGACGTCATCACAACCTAATCGACGCTTAAATTCTTGCGTCTACGTGCCGAAGTCGCGACGTATGGGACGCTCCAGTACTCCCGCCGAGCTCTGGTACCCGGAACGATTCATCGCGGTTTCTGATATCGCGAGGGGTTTTTCGGTCGCCCCGCAGGGCAAGGCTATCATGCACGGAGTCAGCGTGCAGTCACGTTGGCGCCGGACGGCCACCGTGTGTGTCACGGACTGTTGCATTGAATAAAGCATTCGTCGCGGGCCGTTGATGCGTGATTACGAAGCTCGTATACCGATGCCGGCGAATCTCCCGAACGCGGCGGCACTACTCTAGTCGTGTATCCGTTGCCTCGTGGACTGCCGTCTTACCAGGTGCTTTCGGACATCTATGCGATCACTGCGATGTGGTTGATGCTTGTGGCAAGCAGCACTTTCGTTACACTGAGGACGTGGCCGTGGTCACGTTGCAGAGGGCATGTTTGTTGCGAAGTGTGCGTTGGTTACAAAACGCTATTAGCTTGTTTGGATTCGCGTGCCGTTGCACTAGAGCTGCGTGTTTCGAATCGCGTGCGGTGACACTGGATGTTCTGTGGTGACGTGCTCGGAAAGCAGACGCGCTTCTCGTCCTCTCAACCTGGGGCGGATGCTGTGGAGGAGCTATGCAGCTGGCATACGCACCAGCGTTCGCGACGCTGCAGACCACACGTTTTTTGTCGAAATGACTTGTACTACGCGGTCGTCCGTATTTCGTTTTACATCCCAGAATGATATTTTGGCCCTTATCGCTGCTCTGTCGTTTAGTCATGGCAGGAAAACCGCGCCGTGTGCGTAGTTTGAATCGTTCTGTGTAACACGATCGCTTGCTTGGTTTGTTGAAAAACAAAATGAACCGTCTTCGACCCAACCAACGCGGCAGAACGAGCTTACCATTGGGTTTTTCGTGCTCATGAGCAGTTTCTACCGTAACGCCGATAACATTGCAAACGTGTCACTATTGCACGCCTTTATGGTTATCGATCTAGAAGCGAGATGCTGCTGGGAACGCTAACATTTAGCATCTTTTGCACTCGGAAATCGCAATTGTGCAGATGTCACTGTTTTTTAGCACTACCGTTCGCGACATATTCGGTTTTGTCGTTTCACATTACTTTTATTATGACGTCTAAGATATATTTTGGTGTTGTGAATAGCGGCCATTCATGTCACTGATGCGTTTAGCTTCAATTGAGGCCCGTGTGCTTAGATTTAGGTGCACATTAAAGAGGCCCTGTAACACTTTTTAAAGAAACCATGGAATGAATTCACTGGAAGAGCTTATTGCCTTACGAATTCAACGCCGAAGAAAATTTAAGAATCTGTCCACTGCGATGTAGAGTTACAAAGATTTGTCGCATGCGGCAATTGCATTCTATCTTCTCTCGTCCCGACGAAAGCGCTGGAAACTTAGTAGGGAGGGATGACAGAAAAAAACAAACAAAAATAACGTCACCCGTGCCTCGTAACCTTGAGCACTTTTTAGGTTTTTTTTTCGAATGCGCGGCTTTTTCAGTGTGATCGTGCGCGCATGCGTGGACAAGTCGCGGCCTCCCGCAGTGATCTCTCTTACAACCGTGCGCGCCATGTTCGAAAACAGCCAATGGCTGATAAATGGCCTTTCTACGAGTTATTTTCGTCTTTTGTCATTCGTTAAGAGTAGAGAAAGCAATTTTCAGCTGACTTTGAGTATTTATTGTGAATTCCAGGCCGCGTGCTGCTCTCAAATATTTGGCTCGCGTGTTGTCGGGAGCCTCTGCTACCGATCGGCAGCGTTTTCTAACCATGCTCAAAAAGTGTTGCAGGGCCCCTTTAAAAAACCCCAGGGAGTCGAAATTTTCGGGCCCCCCACTACGGTGTCTCATGATTGTATTGTGGGTTTGGAACCTTAAACTCCCGTGATATTATTATTATTATTATTATTATTATTATTATTATTATTATTATTCGTTCAGTTTCAATGATTTCATTGACGCAGTGCTCTTCGAAACAGCTGCGGTGTCTTGAAAACCAAATTGATTATTCCTGCAGTGTGACATCACTTTCCTGCTCCTTTATTTTACACGAAAGCTGCTCCGTTGTATGTATTCGCGGTATACGTTAGGGTAATAACATCTATTGGTGTTCGAGGCTCAACCGTGGATGTTATCGCATTTAAAAGCTACAATCGAGCTGGTGACGGAACAGGTATGTCCGTTGCACTCGTCATCCTGCCCATCTTGACCCTTCCTCGTTCTAGTTTTTTTGGCTCATGAGCGCTGGCAGCAGAACACGCGTTGTTCACCGAGCGGAAAGCTAGCGGCGTTCGTTAATCTGGCAGGGCGCAACTGCGCTAACGCGTTCCTTACAGCGAGGTTGCCCCTAGACATTTCTTTTTTTTTTTTTTTTGCCGGTGCTCAGTCAGCTATGCGTTGAGTGAAGTCACTGTTGACAGCATGGCGATGTCTTCCGGCCCTGTTAAACGCGTATCACTTTCGCGTATCACTGCGGACGTCAGCGCCGTCAGATCTCGGTACCGGTCCGTCAGGTCTGCACCCCTCTGCCGTTTCTTTCGCCCTGCTCTAGCGATGCCACTAAATAAAGGAGGGAAGAGTCGAGAGAAAGAGCGGTTCTTAAACCGGGTTCGTGGTAGCTCAGCATACGGGAAAGGAGCTATAGCGCCAACTAGCGGAAGGTTCCAGCTTACGGGAGAGGAGGACGGCAGGCATCGGGCTTCGGAGTGCCGTGCCACATTTGTGGCGGACTTGTTGCCAAGAGGCTCCGAGGAGTCCGGCAGTCACCTTCGACGTTCGTCCAGCGGCAACAAGAGACGAAAAGCAGCTGCGCTTTGGAGCCCTTGACAACGTAAGGATGCCCGAGTGGCTTTTGCTCGCTCGCCGAGGGCACTTTGCAGTGCTTCTACACCCTTCCTAACTGCGCGCAATAAACGCTTCTGCCCATTGACGTGTGTGTGTTGTGTGTGCGCGCTTCAAAAATAACACACAGCGTGGCAACGCTTCGGCGTAGACGCAGACTCTGCGGCGGGAACCCAAAATAGGAACGGCTCCAGACGCCGTCTGACGTGCAGCGACCGGCAATTGCACTCCTGCTTCTGAAACGGACGCGATGCGACAAATGAAACATCGCGGACAGTTTATTCTCTTTTCCGAGTTGTACGCATCATCGGCATGTTGTCACCGGGCACTTCAGCGGTCGCGTCGGTTCGGATCTGTACCGAGTTGCGCTGAGCCTTTACAGCGCCTCTTGGGGACAGTTCTGGTTGATGTGCAGCCATTGTGGGTGTCGTGCATTAGAACGGAATCGTATCGCGTCGACGTGGTAGGTTGTCGTTGGCACTTCACCGGATGTGGTACATACGTCTAGTCATCTTGATCTGAAATGTCATCTCAGCCGATGATATGAGTTAGGGTAGGGAAGATACTGCAACCGCGTATAATAATACGTAAAATAAAAGGGATATTGTAAAAGCTACCGAAGCATCACCGCCATTGCAACTTAAGAAGAACAGGTGCTTGTTCGTGCCTCAAGTGCAGCTTTCGTTGGGCCCTGCCGAAATGTGCTCGGCTTTTTGCCGTGTCGCACATTTTATCATTCATTTACCGCATCTTATATAGTTCTAATAGCTTTTCAAGAATCCCATTGGGCCGCGCTTCTGAAAAGGTTGCTTCACCGTACACAATAGTGCGTAGCGGAGAAGTAGCGGAGCACTGCGCTTCTCAGACATACTCACGTACCACGTTTGTTGGTATGCCAGCGTGGTAGATTTGTAAGAAGACATATAGCCAGCTTAGGGACGTCAGATGGTAGAAAAGCAGGTAGGTCGAACGTTTAAAACATCAAGAACTGCACGTGTTTGCGTGAGCTGCGAGAGGCGAGTGATATGTTCAGTGTTAGCCTAATAAGACATTGTTTTCAAGTTACAAAAAAAGCTGAAGATTAATCCTGGCATTTATGTCTGACTACGGTTACCCAACCCATCAAAGTCTTTGGCAGCTTGTCGATTCCATTATGCCGGCTTATATTCAGATGAAACTCGCATGCGTTTGTGAATTCTACTCGGATAATGAAGTAGTTACTCTGATTAATGCAGGACGGCAGGTAAATGACTCTAAATTAAGACTTAACGTGTATTACATGAATTGAGGCGAGACCAAATGCGCGGAGATAAACGTCGGGATACAGTAATGTTCGACAGTAAAGGTTTGTTAAAACAAGTGTGTAGAGTTTGTGGAGAAGCTGGCATATAGCACCAGAGCTCGTCTGAAGAAGATAAACTAAAGCTCGCAGAGTCCCTCATGCATTCTCCTAAGATGACTCGGAAATCGAAAGCCATAATTATTTTTTTTTCTTCTCAGTTGGTTGTATCATTTATTATTCGCCCGCTACCCTGCAAAAGGTTTCTGCACCTAATGTAGTTTCGCATTGCCTCCGGGATGGGAGGTGATGTGATGACGTCATCATGCGACGAATGATGTCGGAAAACATTTTTGGCGATCTTTGAGGTCACAATGACGTCACGTAGTGACGTCATTGCTTGACTGATTTCTTGCACCACTAGGGTTGACGACGCCGATGGTCAATTTTCGCGCGCGATGAGGCATCCAAGGTTTTAGCCCTAAAAATAAGGCTCTTTCCGTATGCCGGAAGTTACCGTAAGTTACTTAACCTGCTCTAAGCGAGATAGATATAGCAAAAAAAGTTCTTAGGCGTCCAAAACTGTCGAGAAAACCATGACGCGAGTCTCTGTCGTCAGGTAGATGGAAACTGGATTTGTTCCAGAGGCACGGTTGTGAAAATGAACAAACAAACGCAAACGCAGCTTCTCGTGTCTCGAAAGTTTTGAAATATGTTGAAATGTCACTAATCAGGTAACGAGCTTATTTTTTTTCCCGCAAAATACTCTGTGGCTTATGTCAGGGAACTTTGTGATCTGTAGGCATAGGTAGGTAAGTTTCTGTATCAACGAGTAGAAAATTTAAGCTTCTAGTAGTCGCGATGAATTCTAAACACTATAGAATGCTCGACCATTACATCTCTAGCTCTAAATCGCCTGGCCACAATAACCCTTTCGTCCCTATTGACGCCTTTGATTTGTGTGCATGTACTCGGCTGCTGACCCGCAAGTCGCGGGATCGAATCACGGCTGCGGCGGCTGCATTTCCGATGGAGGCGGAAATGTTGTAATCCCGTGTGCTTAGATTTGGGTGCATGTTAAAGAACCACAGGTGGTCGAAATTTTCGGAGCCTTCCGCTACGATGTCTCTCATAATCATATAGTGGTTTTGGGACGTTAGACCCCACATATAAATCAATTTCTGTGCATAAACATGCCACCAGTAACTATACAACCACAACATGCTCAGTCTATTCTAGGCTATACAATTACGCAATTGTCCCCGTGGCAACGCTAACGGGCACACTAAGATAAATGGCGTGTGCGAGTGGCACATGGCTGGAATTAAAGTGCGTGTTATCTGACGCCAGTTTCACCTTTTTCCGACCACCACATGCAGCAGCGTACTCACTATCCACTGTCCGTTATCCACAGTTCTTTTTTCCCGGGGCACATAATTGTATACGTTGACGCACTTTATGCCGCCTGCAAACTGTTCCACATGACACACAGGTTTGCTAACGTTTCCGACCTATAAAACTCGCAGCTATTTCAAACTACCGTCTCAGCGTAGCACATAGTGCCGCATGTTCCTGCGTATCATTTGCAACTTAATGCGTGAGATTCCTTAAACTGTATGATGCAATGTAAGAAAAGAGACGAGAAATTTTCATCGTGTCATGCACCTGTTTCCCGACAATGCTCCAGTTCATGCGGTTAGCGTTGCAAAGGCCTGTGGCTTGGAAAAGACTGATCACCCATCCAATAGCTTAGACCTGAGGCCCTGGTACAATTGCCTCTTTTAAAAGCCTCAGAAAGGTCGAGGCTGAAAATTGCTGCTGATTGAGTGAAGAATTCACTGTTTGGACAAATTGAAGTCAAAATTTCAGACTATACCGTTTTTTGAAGGGCATGTAATGTTATCGAGGCGTTGTGAAAATATGTCGAGGGGAAGAGAGATAACATTGGAAAGTGACGTTATTGTTTTATTCCTATAGTCATTAAAAGTTCGTCAGGCCGGAAACATAAGATTACCTGCAGATTCGAACAGCTGGTGTGATGTGGAGGATTTTTCTGTCATTCCGGTTTGCTTTGTTTCGTAATTTGCGGTGAACTGCGTTTAGAATGACGTGGCGAGGCTCCGAAAACTTTTTTCTTTTTTTTTTTTGGCGGGGAATTCTGTTTCTTGGCATGCCCTCCGTCGAATAGCTGAAACACTGAAGAAGAAATGTCGTTTACTTGTAAGCACGTAAGCAGGTGATGAGCGTAAGTTCATTCAGTGTTATCGAAGAACATGACTCGAGTCTCAATAAATCGTGGTGTATGGTTATTAAACAAAAAAAAAAAGACCTTAAGGGAAGGATTCCGGCATGCAAAATAAATATTTCAAGCTAAAAGAGGAGGAAGAAGTGACCTCATTATATATTCTTGAAAACTTCCTCGTCTTATCGCACCACTGTTTGTTATTCGTAACAGTGCTTCCCGCTTTTTATTTATTTTTAAACATCCATATACCTAGATTAGTAGACAATTGGTTATTTGATATAAGCATTACATGACTTTTGAAAAAAATCTGATGATTTTCAACCACATGACATCAAAAATTCTGCGTTGGCAATCTATCTGCTGCCACCTTCCCACCCATTAACAACGCATCTGTATAAATCTAAGCTATATGTAAAAGTTGCTAAGCTTCAGTAATTACGGGCCCGTAGGGCTCTCAAATTTGCTCCTGACTATATTTGAAATCGTGTATTCGCTGTACGTCCCTCGCAATTATTTGCTCAGAACTAAGCAAGCGATCTCTCAACCACTTAAATATATATCAGCTCCATTAGTGTCATAGCATGACAGTAAAGAATATCTAAAAACTACAATATAGTCTGCCTAGTTGTGCAGAAGCTACTTCTGTGCTTGAAACTTTTTGGCGAACTTGTACTTTACTTGTTTCATGTTTACGAAGATACGTATTTATGATTAAAAAAAAAAAAAAACGACAGGCCTGCGCGGTAGGCGCAGCACAGTCACAGCGAAAGCTAGAAGAGCGGCCTTTCAGAGCCTTTTCAAAACACTCATAGGGTACCTACTGCAAGTACACTTGATTGATACCCACAAGGGCATTAATAATAAACATTTTCGGGTAGTAGGTTGGCATTCGCTATGCGTTTTGTCATTATTCTTCTGAGAAGCGTCGTATCCGTAAAGATTTCTAAGGAATTTCGCGCGAATTGTCAATGCAATGGCTGACGACGATGAAGAATCGTGGCTGTAGTGGGTATGCGCCACAGTTAATAGGGAAACAAACACAAGCTTTTGTAATGGGTTGGAGCTTTGGATGGCCCACTTGTTATTCTAATCGCATTGTGCGACAACTGGTTGTTCTTCCGCCGTTTTAAAATGCTTTATAAGTCGTATTAACGCGATTGCTTTCCCGACATCAAGCCTGCCTAAGGCAAGTTTGACAAGTCACAAGCACCGGTTTAGCTCAGTGGTCTGGCACCTAGCTCAGTGGGCTGGCACCTAGCAAACCCGGGTTCGAGCCCCACTGTGCCATTGGTGCTAGGTCATGCCTGCCTAAAGCAAATTTGACAACAATATAGGGCTGGCACCCAGCGGACCCGGATTCAAGCCCCACTGTGTCATTAATGCAAGTTTTTTTTTTAATTTCATGTGATGTGGTTACGGACACCGGCGGCGGCGGCGGCGTACAACATGCAACTGCGCGTGACCCGAAAAGTGATCAGCTTTCACTGTAAAACGAAAACGCACTGGATACCGTTTGCTCGTGTGCACTATGAATAAACTTCGGGCACAGAAATGTTTAAAATACAACTTGACTTATATATTACTCAGTGTTTGTGCAAACTTTTAAAAGCATCGCAGAACCATCATTTCGCAGAGGCACTATAAAAGCTCGAGGACGGCTTCGATGTATTCTTTTCACTAATGTGAATTTGCACGTAGCAATGCTCGCGTTGTTTCAGCCCTGATTTCACGATCCCAAGTGAAATTCAAGCCTTTTTTTTTTCAATAATAAGATCTTCAAATTGTGACAGTCGTGGTGCTGTTCATTACATACGTGTCATGAACATCTGTATTATGTTTTCTTTATTTTATTTTTATTTTTGCTAAGAATGTTCGCTGTCGTATTTTGGAACGTCATTAGAAGTTGTTCCTCACGACTTACCGCATGATTTTGTTTTCTTTTTTTTTCTGACCGTCCTTCACCACCACAATATTGCTAATGAATACGTACCGTGTGTGGTATGTACTCCACTCGATCACGTTTTCCACAATTTTTCCAAGTCCTCGTTATCATCTGTCAGGGCTACCAAGAGACCGCAATAATGAAAAAAATAAACAAATAAATTGACACTCTAGAAACGTATGTGCGTCGGTGCGAACGTGCTTGGTCGACGCCTCCGAGTTTAAATTACTGCCGACCGAGTGTTGCGCTTGGAGGCTTTGAAACGCGCGGCGACCGATAGCTTCGCATCACCTCTGTTCGTATTTACTTTTCTCTCGCCCCAAAAGCCGGTTTCTTATGGCACACTAAAAATAAGCGCCGAAGGGCAGTTTTTCTCTGGGGCGAAATGGGGGCGAAATACCGCAAAGAATACTCTGCTGCCACTGCCAATCTGGGCTTCAGGATTGACGCACGCGACCCGCGCGAGAGAGAAAAAAGTTTTTGTGAGTCGCACGCTAAGCTCGTGACGTGGTTCTCGGGGTCTCGGAGAGGGAGCAGCTACCCACCACGTAGACGGTGCGTTGGCATAGGCATAAAGGAACAAAAAAATATCATAGCGTATTCAGCTGAATCAATAATCTTAAAGCGACGGACTTGTGTGCCTCGTTGAACGCGAAAATTGGCCGTTGGTGTCGGCGTTAGAGCACTGCACGGGCTCGGACCGACCCGAAAGCCCGGGCCCGACTGAAGAGTTTTTCGGCGGGCCCGGGCTTGAGGCTGCGGGCCGGGCAGTACTCGGGCCCGCTCATTAAGCCTGACCGTCGAGAACACGCGAGCGTTATGCATTGCATGGTCTTAGAAGGCATTCTGTGCCAAGGTGAAAGAACACGCGCAAAGTGCTGGCTTAGCAAAGAAAACAGAAAACAACAGTGTTCGATTTTTTTTTCGTTTACAGAAGGAACGAACCTTGCAATTTCCCCTTTGTCGTTGGTGCGATTACACTCCATACTATTTCAATATTCCAATGATAAAGCTAAGGGTATTGCTCAGTAATGCTCACCCCTGTAATAATCCCCACGGGGGATTGACAGTATTCTGAAAATAAATAAATAAAAACTAAATATGCCTATATGTACTGGTGCGTTTTGTGAACGTTTTATATTACATATTCTTTTGAGTGGCTCTTCATCATATATAACGTTAACGTTTTTTTTTATTTTGTTGCAAGAAGTTATTAATCAGGAGTATCTTTTAAAAAATGTGTAATTAATGTTTCCAACGCGAGTGTAGAAAAGAGCATTAAAGGAAATGTCCTTGGTTTGCTTTTATCCGCTTTTGATGTTAGTTGTACATTTATTTTGAATAAATTTTGTTGCTATGTTTTATTTTGCCTATATTATTTTGCAATGACTTGCGATGTGCCATCCAGGTAATATTTTATTAATTTTTTTTATATTACGTGACGAAAATCACGATGTGATTACGAGGCACGCCGTGGTCGGGACAGGATTGATTTCCACCACCTGGATTTCTTTAACGGGCCGCTAAATATAAGTACACATATGTCCTTTCATTTCGCCCCCGTCAACCTTGACCGCGGTAATCGCTCCCACGTTCAAAGACTTAATAGCGAAACAGCTTAACCATTGAGCTACTACTGCGGGCAAATCAGCATTTCTTTCCATGTACACACCGGATGTTCCATCCGATCGCCCACTGCAAAGCGCAAGGCATGATAAAAAATAATAATCAACACAACTAATACCTTCCAGCGGGCCAGGGCTAGGCCCGGGCCAGGCTCGGGCTAGCTTCGGTCATGTACGCCCGGGACCTAGCTTGGATTCATAAAACAGGTGCGGGCTGGTCCTGGGCTAAAAAATCAAGTCCGTGCAGTGTCCTAGTCGGCGTCGTCAACACGACTGACGCGAGAAAGGAAAAAAAAAAAAGCACCGCGTGATGATGTCACAAAACTTCCAAATTTGTGACTTCAACGTCACGTAACGCGAGAACACGTGATGACGTCAGCACAGACGTCGTCGCTTGGTTAAGGGTGGACCAATCACGGAACCAGTGTGGAACCACGTCATGCGCTGAAAGCTTTCAAAGGTGGACAAAAATGTACATAAAAAAAACAACGTGGTTTTCTCCTTCGAATAACCTTAGGCGGGAGCATTAGAGACCCAGTGAGTTTTTGAATGAGTGGCCATTCGATTTCTTATTAATTGGGTGTCGTCGTGTTCTTCTTGTGTATCGAAATCAAATAAGCAAATAGATACTTTGCACGTAGGTTTCAAATTACACGTTTAGCCGGTTAGGTTCCCGCTATTCCAATCAAGATTACTATTTCACGCTGTACTTCTAAGAAAATAAAACTGCTTTTGCCCGACCACTTCGTTCACGATTATCGTAGATGCACAGTTTTCTTCGTTAGGAACAGTTAATCACGTGTTCTAAATCATTCCTTCCTCGCACCTAGAGTCGTTCGTAGTCGCGTCTTTATTTAGCTCCCTATTTATATTCGTCTCTTTTTATCAGCGTGCATTCGGTGGTCTCGTGGTTTCTCGTTATATCGCGCAGCAGAGCGTGACGTGAGACGAGCGAGGACTATAATGGCGGACCAGGAAGAGGAAGCCAAAGCGAAGAAGGAGGTGCGCGTGTTCGGGCGCCCCGAACTGGCCTCCAAGGTGGCCATGTTCCAGCGCAAGGCCGAGGACCACGATCGCAAGCAGAAGGACAACCCCTTTTCGGAACGCTGGGACGGATCTGCCTCCAGTGCACTGTCCAAGGACGACCCACGGTCAGTGCCTTGTCTTTCCGTTCGGAACCACTTCATTCATGTATACGTCATTCACACAAGGCTCTATATTACGGCGAAGCTGTACATATAGGTCATTTGTTAACTCCGTGAACAACCGGCCATAGTGGCTTAGCACACGAGGTGTCGCGTTGCTGAGCTTGAGGTGGCAGATCGATTCCTTGCCACGACGGCTGCATTTTAATTGGAAGAAAATGCAAAGAACATCCGTGTACTCATATTTGGGTGCACATTGAAGAACACCAAGTTGTCATTTCCGCACCCTCCTCCCTACCTTGCGTCGTCCCTCACAATCATATAGTGATTTCGGGACGTAAAACCTCAACTAATGACTCCGCGAACGGTTACCTGCTTACCTACTCGAAAAAAATTATCGCTGTGAACGGGTTTTACCTTCACATGAAAAAAAAAAGAAAAACAGAATGCACCATCTTCTACTGAAGGGAACCTTGTAGTGATGTGAAGCAGCGTCAGTGCTCACTTGTGTTTCCATTAGCTTGTTTCTATTTGTATGTCTCCGTGTATGTTTCATTTGTGTGTGGAGTTGTAATATGTTATGTACCGCTTATGTTACCCCCCCCCCTCCCATTTGTGTGTATTACCGCGCGTGTGCCGCAAAGTGAACACCCAGCGCTGCTAGGAGAGTGCAACGTAGCGAGAGGGAATACGCGCGCAAAGGTATGGTGGAGAGATAAACGGGAGAGGAGGAACGAAGCGGAGGTAGCGCTCTGCCACCTCCTTCACACCACCTTCCTCGCGCTCAGATGAGGAGAGGGGGAGAGTTGGCGCAAGCGTAGTGGGGGAGCGGACGGTCGTCAAAGGACGGACCCAGCCCCGAGCAAAAGCTGCTTCGCGTTGAAAAGAGATTTTGTATGGACAACCGAATTAACTGAAACGTCAGCTTACCTGACGTTTACCCTAAGGTCCTTCCTCTTGTTGTCCTTCCATACGTGCCCGGTTTCAGTTCGCTACGGCTTGTAGGGATGGGTGTTTCAGCTCCACTAACATCGTCGGCTGTTTGTTAAACCATGGCCTCCGGGATGGCGGACGCGCCCGCCATCTCGGAGGACTAAATAACTATTGCCTTATTCGTTACGAGTGGGCCGATGGCAAGTAGCGAGATTTATCCGTTGTGGCACGTACCCATTTCTATGATAGATCGTGACTACATGACATGCTCTGACGACATCATACGCCGACAAAGGCGAGACCCACAAGATGCTTCGCACCTAAAATTTGAGCCAGTCCTGGTGGTGGTACACAGCACAAGCGGCCAACCAATGACAAAAAGCACTTGCGAACAAAAGAGAAACGCTACTGACTCCAAGTCGCGCAAGGTTGGGTCATGTCGGAGCTACTTACTTGGCTAGGCTTTTGCCCTTTCACGTCTCTTTCCCTATACCATAATATACATGGATAAGCCTGCTCTATTTTTCTATATCTTTTTTGTCTATTTCGTGCTATCTATTCTTCTATGTTCTCTGTCTCTCTATATTTTCTTATTTCTTCCCTTTTTATATTTCTCTCTGTAGTCTTTCTATCTAATTCAACCATTTTTTTCTTCCCTTATATTTTTCTCTATCTCGCCCATCAAACTTATTGCATCCCACGCCGGACATATGAGCGCACGTGTTCTGGGAGCGAAGCAGAAGAATAAGAAGGGATGAAGAGAGCGCGAGATGGTTCACGTTGATCATGTTTTATCTGTGTCACTCGGCAAGCCGCGAGCATGACGGCTGTTTGCCGATTTGATCGAAGCTCTGTAGATAGCCATACGCGCTACCAAGTACAACCGTGCGTTGTAGCACGACCAAACACAGTCATGCCCGGAAGCTGGATACATGTTCTTCAATACAAGCGGTGAACTTGCTGACGCGGTATCGGTGTATTCGCTACTGACAACAATGCCCTTCCTCCGCTAGGCGTCAGTGTGTAATGTTGAAAGACATTTAGATGAGAAGAACTGGGCAGCCAGAGTGCACAGATACCTGTACCTGAAAAGTGTGGACACCCAATGGCGGAAGAGGACGCGAAAGCTGGCGACTAAATATAACTTGGCCGCGGCAAATAAGCAAAGGGGGAGTTAAAAGGCAAGTGAGGGAAACAGAGACGCTCATGTGGAAAGAGAGGATGGAAAAGAAGGGATCGCTGGGAATCTACAAGGCAAGCAAACAAGAGATCCGGAAAGAGAACTTTTATGACAACAATAAAGGTAGTGCGTTGCTCTTTGAGGCGCGGGCTGGCTGCTTGAGAACTCCAACTTACAGGAGCAAATATTCGTCACAGGATGAGACATGTGTTGGATGTGGCATAAATAAAGAAACAATCGACCACATAGTCATGGAATGCCAAAAGATTCAGCCGGATAGAAATGGGGGGAAGGTCACACTTCCTGAGGCGCTGGGCTTCGCGGTTGATGGAAGCATTAACTGGTCAGCAGTAGGTATTACTAAGCAGCGGCTGGAGTATTGGTGGAGGAAAGGCAGAGAAGTCGATAAAATAACATCCCAGCCAAGAGTAGCGGCTGGGCAAAATTAAAAAGACATCCGAGTTGAGGGACAGAATTTAAACTCGAACTATTAAGGTAGGCTAGATGGCGCATGCCGTCACCCCGATTCAAAGGGGAGGCCTTTAATCATCATCATCATCATCAATGCCATGTTTAAGCTCTGGTAGTCCTAAAAAAAAAGCTATCTTAGCGCGCTTGAATGACCAGCCACTTTTCGAGCAGTCGATATTAAAACGCCGAAACGTTCGAGTAATCAGAAAGCGACAGAAACATTGCTGAAGTTTCTGCGAACAAAGCGTCTCGTTGAACGACCATGACACTCCGGTATTTGTATGTGTTCCTACCTATCTCCCACTCTTCAGCTCTCATTATTTTCTTTGTTACCTGTCAGTCTCCCCTTACCCCACTGCAGGGTAGCGAACGGGATCATCCACTTAATCTTTCTGCCTTTCGCTTAACCTTCGTGCTCCTCTTCCTCACTTATTTTGTGGTCTTTAGGATGCCGGCCTCGTTTGGCTTTCTTACTCACTTTTTCAAGTATAGATGTAGTTATCCTCCATAGTAAGGTTTACTCTTTCTCTCTCTCTCTCAGTTTCTCTCTATCTCTCTATACGCGTGTCTACCTGTTTCTAGGTACGGCCATCCCGAAGAAGGTTCGAAGACCGAGAAGCGCGGCCAGCAGGCCGGCCAGCTGATTAGCAGCGAGGTTCGCGTGCTCTGCGAGAACGTGCACGAGTTCGGGACCGAACAGCCGGACGGCACTCGAGCCATCACGTTCGGAGAACTCTTTCAGGTATATAGCCCCTTCTATTCTCACGGGCAACTCTTTCTGTGGTTTTTATTTGTTTCTCTCGTATTTCGCACAAGTCAGGCAGTAAAAAGTAAGAGAAATATGGGACATGTGCATAAACGAAAATGCCCGAATTGACGTCTAGCGATACCCCAACAGTTGATTTCAAGGTTATAGAACACCGTATAAAAATACACGTTATCAGCAAAATCTTATTGTATTTCCAAGCACGCGAAGGTAACTGTTTACAACAAAATGTGTAAGTGCGACAGAACGTGAGCATATAGGAAGAGAAGGACGCAGAAACAAGGCGATTTATATGCTTTCTCGTTTTGTCACGCTTAAGTATATTATATCGAATTTGAACCAACTTGCACGCAGAGTGATTTAATTGTTCACGTTTCTCTGGTGTCTTAGATGTTTCGTGTCATTTAGCTTAGCGTGTGACGTGTGTAGAGCTATGCAGAGCATTAATAGGTGTGCACCGCCGCTCCTAAAGGCTGCAGTGGAGATTTCCAAACATTTTGCTGAAATTCTTGAAAAGGTCAATTAAAAGCGCTGTATTTGACACGAATATGCCGCGAAAAATCTCAAAGAACCGCCGCGATTCCACCTTCGGTAGTGAACCAGCGGATTTTGTCGGGTGTTCACCAGTATGCATAGACAGAAGCACAGTGTCGTGTTGTCTCCTTTGTGTTTGAAGTTTTGAAGGTGAATGTATACAAGGTGTATTTGGTTTCTGTTAGGCTTTATTGCCATATGTTCTGTTTTCATAAATGGTTTAATTATTAGCAGCGGACTTCTGCTCGACGATTTCGGATGACTGTAGAACCGCCAACGCCTTTAAATGCACGTGACACACATTGCACACGTGTAAGTGATGAATTCGTACAGTTCAGTGCAACTTTACTCGTGTACATAAGTTTACTCGTGTACAGAAGCTGCTGGCGCGGAGAACCCACCCGCTTAGTGAACCCAACTTAGTACACCTAACATTGAAGAATTACGCTTGAATTTTAGACAAACATAAGAGCTAAGCACGTACCGCCTGATTGGACCTAACAGCTTCACGAGGTAGGCAGACAAAACTGCAAACAAAAAATCAACCAGGTGACGCAGTCTATGCATATAGACCACGTTGTACGTATAAGTTATTCTTACACCGTGCTATAGACTCGGGAAGCAATGCCTTGTTCAGAATCGAGCCCAGGCAGATAAATTAACTGGTCGCAATCATTTGAGAAAAGCTTGCCGTATCTCCGCACGGGGGACTTATCAGTGATCTGTCAAAAGATCACGTGTGCAGGGTAATAGTCTTACGTGGAGTATTCGCTTAGGTGTCGTCAGTCAAGATCAGATCGAGATGACACTGCGTCGATTCCACACTCTCGTGCAGTGTCATCTCAATTCCATAATCATGACAATATGGTGGTTCTTGAAGTGGCGTAAACGTCCACGGATGGCCACCCGACAACCGCCGCCTTTCAAAATCTACCAAAATATCTTTTTTAGTGGCGATGCTCCTTATAACTAACCTTGTGACTAGTCACGCGTAACCGAGAAAGAAGAGAAGGCAAAAGAAATGGATGACCATCTTTCGTCAAATTTTTTTTTATATAACGTTACTCTTCCGCTACTCTCTGAAGTGCCGCTACTCCCCTATTGGCTGCGGCGCACGCTTTGCCAACTAGCGCCTCTGTCAGGTGGAGCATTGATGGAGCAGAGCGGGGGGGGGGGGGGGGGGGCGTTGAAGACGCTTGCGCTCGGCTTCCTTGGCTCGCGTCTCGTCGGTATTACCCGCGCGCAGTCTGTGTTCTTGAACGTGATCGGACGCATGCACGGACTGAAGGACGCACGAACGGATGGACGAACGGACGCTTCGCTCCACTCATCATTTTCACTTCGTGAATATGCTGTGATTTTCTTATCATTTATTGTGTACCTTCCTTCACAAATTCATACCAGAATTATGAAAAAAAGTGGGTTTATTACGTGAGTAAACGGGGTATTTACTCCAAGTGCGCCCAAATTAAATGTTCACGCTGCACAAACTTATCTCGGCGCATTTCTCCTTTGCATCTTCAGCTGTACACGAGCATCTCGAACAAGGTGGTGGGCATTCTGCTGCGCGCGCGTAAGCACGGCCTCATCGACTTCGAGGGCGAGATGCTGTACCAGCGGCGAGACGACGGCGTTGTCATCCGGCTCCTCAGGCCCATCGCCGAGATACACGCGGAGATGGGCTACAACTCGGCCCTGGCGCAACTGCCCAAGACCACGCCCGTGCTGCTGGGAGGCAAGACGGCCCCGTCGTAGCCGCAAGACACGGTTATAAGCGGCGTTTTTCACTACTCTGGCTCTAAGTGGCCACAGCTTCTGATAGTGCTCATGCGAGCGCCGGCCAACTTGGTCGCGTTGAAGACCATTGAGAACAGCTTTTGCTCTGTGCGCGCGTTTGTGTTCACGTTCTGTTTGCAGAGACGTAACGAAGCTTGTAACAATAATTTTTGTTTTCTACCTGTAAACGCATTAAAGAAGAGCTTTCAAAGCCTCGACGATGGTGTGAAATTCGTCTACTCCAGTCTTCGTTTGGGCCTTTGCGTGAACGTAGCTGAAGCAACCAAGCTAATAACAAAAATGATGGAAAACACATTGATGTAAACGTTTTGTATTCACATAGGGGAAAATAAGAAACCTACAACACAGTGTTTTCAGTTTCATATCTTGAGTCTCGCATATAGCGATGACTTCGCAACGGAGTGCAAGCGGTGTTACGACGCTTTACGTCAGACCTCGGTAGAGATAAAAAAAAGTAAATGTGACCGAAGATCTCAGACATTGCCAAATTGCGTACGGTATGATGAAAGGAAGAAACAAGCAAACTTTTTAAAAACATAACTTACTTTAACAGCGATTGGGTCGATAGAAGTCAAGTTGTTTGCTTGCAGGCTTTACTCGATTGGTGGCAAGCGAAGGGGAAAAAATTGTTTAGCCACTTGAAGTGGTCGCTAAGTTTGACCGTCTTTGCAGCCTCAGTTTTACGGTGTTGCAACGTGGTCTGTCTACTCGCTCGATCTAGTATTGTGCACTCACTGGCGTGTTCTGTTTTTGTTATGCGATCTACCCTCTGAACCACTCGATCCTGATTAATCTTCGCGGAAGCGGCGCGGTCAAACACAAGAAGCAAGAGCAATAGGCTTTCTTTCTTTCTTTCTTTCTTTCTTTCTTTCTTTCTTTCTTTCTTTCTTTCTTTCTTTCTTTCTTTTCTTTCTTCTTTCTTCTTCTTTCTTTCTTTCTTTCTTTCTTTTTCTTTCTTTCTTTCTTTCTTTCTTTCTTTTTTTCTTCTTTTGTTCTTTCTTTTTTTCTTTCTTTCTTTCTTTCTTTCTTTCTTTCTTTCTTTCTTTCTTTCTTTCTTTTTTCTTTTTTCTTTCTTTCTTTCTTTCTTTCTTTCTTTCTTTCTGCGCCACTGAAATATATAGTCCCTGCTAAAACATAATAATGGTGCTGAGAGTTCTTTCTCTTTCTCTTGTTTCACTTTTTCACTTATGTTGTTTTTAAAAGGATGCGTCCGTTTTTGAACCGTATATTTAACAGGCACCTTTTCTAGCCTCACAGCTGTGTGCCCTGTGCTCCTGTTAACGAGGTCAGCTCAACTTGAACAGTCATTTTTCTCTAGCCAGATCACGAGAAAATATGTCTCTCATGAAGAAGACACAAGCACATAAATTAACCACATACACCTACATTTACCAGCTGAAGCATAATTGTAATACTAAGGGAATGATTTTACTATTCTCGACTGCACTGGATGATAGTAGGGCTACTGCCTAACAGCCGTAAATAGTACTTGCAATCACGCGGGCAGTATATTTCGAAGAGCACGACTGTAAAGAAGAAGCTTTTGCAATAGTTCACGAGTGTCTTCTAAAGTAGTGACGAAGGCGATGACCATCACTACTTTAGAGCAGGCACGTCGTAGCGTGGACTTTTGTGCACGTACAGTGCTTTCGTGGGATGTCAAAACGTTGCACCATTTCAACGTGAAAAAAACAACAGTTGAATATAACGTATGCCAAGGGTTGCAACACAATGATTTAAACAAGCTCTGTAACCCTTTATAACAATCTCTATGAGTGGTATCTTGTGTGGCAATATCGCGACCTCGGTTTGCACACAGCTGAGAAAGAAACTACATCCAACTGCCCCAAAGAAATTTCTGACCATTCAAACGCAGTGAACTGCGTTTCATGCCTCGAGAACTTTGAAGAAATAAGAAAATCTTGCGGTTGCAGCTGATTTTTGTTCTACAGGTAGTCACGCAGCCACTGCGCGAGGGCCTCAAGCAATTAACTCCTGGCACACGCACACTCACTGTAGTAGTGACTGGCAGCCTGCTTCACACTCATAATCAAGGTACAGATTTAGGCCTCTATAATCAGGTATAGCAAAAAAAAAGTGAACTTCACCCACACATATCTCTGTTATACCCAAACAGAATAAAGATTAAGGCTTCATATGCCTCACCAGTCGAGAAATCCGGCGTAGTCAACGTCAAATATGAATGTGTAATGTGTCAAAAGCTACAAAAAAAAACCCATGTCGCATGATGATGCTGTGAAGTCATCGCGACGTTATTGATGACGTCATGTGACGTCATCTGATGGTGTAATAGACACGCATTTCGATGATCACAAAATGGGGTTATCGTGGGACTGTTCCTGATGATGAACACCAGAAAGACAATGAAGGTGCCGTTTCGACACTGCATGACAGTAAAATTCCTGGAAACACCGCAAACACAGAGTTTCGAACGGTTAAACTGTGCGTTTCCGCATCAATTAATCAACTCTCAACGAAGACTCTGCGTGTATTTTTAAATGTGCACTTTGAGCGCAGCTTTGACCGAATCTGCCATGCCATCATGTCTGCATCTTAAGTGTGGCGCGCTTGTTGCCTTCTGCATAGACGCTCGCGGTTATTTTCCGAGTATTCGTACCACGCCGTATGCGTTGAATAAAAGTAAAAAAAAAATCCTCCTCCGCACTTCTCCTATTCTCCTCCTTTCCTCGTTTCAACGCGTTGCTAGGCGACGCGTGGCAACCTCGTCATAGTTTCTGCGAACGACGCCGGACCTAGCTCAAGCTTAAAGAACTTGTCAGTACGTGCAGATACGACTCCTAGCTTCATGGCATTCATGACATGTCGTTAAAACATGTGATTAAGGAGCATTTTGCTCCTTAATCGCATGTTTTAACGACATGTCATGAATGGTATCTTGCAGTAGAAGTGTGATGGAACATGTCATGAATTTTTGGTATTTGCAGTAGAGGTGTGATGGAACATTTGCATGGCCGCGTCACTTTCGTTGCTATGGTGCTGTTGCTATGCAGTTTGACGAATATTTAGTAGGTGAATATCGCCGTGCGTTGTCATTGCTCCAAGCGGCTATGGCATTCTCAATTGACCTTGACCGAATTATACGAACATTGTACATATGTACTAGTACTTCGGTGAAGAGTAAGTAAGAGGATGAAGACTCCGCAGTAATCTTTAAACGTGCAGCCGGTTACTGAGCTTCAACGAGGAATTATCCTGCTCTCTTCGTGGAAGAACGTGTATGATTTAGTATGTATGGCTGCACTGGCCGAAATATAATAAAAAACAAATACGTTCCAGCGGGAATTGCCGTTATGATCTACACGATGTAGGACATTGCGGTGGTGGGACGCCAAAAGGAGAACCGACGCTTTCTGTTCTTATGGTGGACATCAGCCAGTATATGATGGTATGACGCCTCTTATGCACAAGCTCGCGATGTGATGCATTCATTCTGCACGAATGCTTCAGAAAGAAAAAAAAAAAACTCACAATTTTCTCCCATACTTGCAGTTTCTATAGCTTCGCCCGAGCGAATGGCTGGGTTGTTGCAACACGAAAAAAAAAGTAAATGCACAAAAAATGTCGCGCAGAGGGAAGCCATTTGCGGCCAAGAACGGAACGCGAAGTCGGTCAGGTCGGCCCGACTCAGAGGGGACGATCCTCGCTGGCGATGAGAACGGAGCGGTCTCCAAGCGAAGCTTGGCGAAAAGCGAGACGAGCGTGAGTCAGAACCGCGAAAGGGGCTCAAATATGTGGGGCTGGAGAAGGAATGAGCTCTGAAAAGCGGTCTTGAAGAAAGGAGCGCTTGTAATAGAAAGAGGAGTACCCTGTCGCATGGCGGATTGCGACAGCCCGCGAATATATGGAAACTCGCCTCTGTATTGTTTGTAAGGATGTAACGGGGTCAGATACAATACGGCTTCCCCCCTCTCTCTCTCCACTCCTTCAGTTGCCTGTAGACTTCCTTTCAAATCTTTTTTTTTGTGAAAGAAAGAAGAGCCACATGCCGGCTGGTTGTCCGTGTGCTGTGCTAATGAAAGGGACGAGCGAGGCAGAGAGAAAGAGAGAGTGCATTTGTTGAGGAGAGCCGCGCTTGACCTCCCTACGTTGAGTAATTCAAATTATCTGCAAATTGCGGATGACCCTGTTAATGTTAAAAATGGTGAGTTATTATCAAAGTGGTGAACGACCACTACAGTTATTTATGCGAAACGTTGCTTTTTGTTCTTTTTGTCTGGCGAAGACGTGAAGTAGGTCGCATCGCTGCGGTTAAGCAAAAAAAAAAAATCTACGCATATCAGCGAAATGAATGCTGATAATGGGGCGAAGCAGTGTGCATCAGATCATGAATAGTGGCCTTCTATATTGTTTTTGATTAATATGTGGGGTTTAACGTCCCAAAACAACCATATGTTCCATATATTTCTTGTTAATGCATTGTAGTGCATTAACAAGAATAAAATGCATTTGTTTTGTCACTATGCTTTGATTGATGGATGGTTTAACCTCGATGTTTTTTTAGGTGTTGTGACCTTTTGTTATGTCTGTTCTGGTAGCAGCCTTTTGATAACCTTTTTTTTGTTTTTCACAGATGTTTCGGTTTTTACATCTGCTGCTGTCGCCGTGTGGCGGTTTATGAACGGAATGGATATTGCGCTTCGCCCCTGAAACTCTGGATACTGAGAGAAGTCGTTATAAGATGGAAAAGAAGAGAAAAGTGAGCCCCGTAACTGTCTGCATCAGCGTAGCGACACCTCAACAGTAGCTCACAAGGGATGGGGGTGAGGAGGGATTAAAAGGATAGGATTAAAGGTATATATAGAGAGAAAGATGCGCTGGGAAAGCGAGCGAGGACATATGAGACATAGGAGAGATAGGAAAGATGGAAACACGGTCACCGGAGTCTGAGGACGGGGCACCACTTGCGAGAGCTCTTGTCGGCGTCAGGAGATGGCGTAGGGCAAGTCCAGTAGGTCAGAGCTACGCTGTCGTCGGAGATCGCCGTCGGGAGATGACGTAGGGCCAGCCTGCAGTCGGCCAGAGCTACGCTGTCGTCGGAGATCGCGAGGGCACAACCGGTCTGGACGGAATCCAGCTAGTGAGTGTGCTGGATACCGACGCAGGGCTTATCTCTGTCGGTTCCCCACGTTCTTGTAGCCGTTTGGTCATAAGCT